AGCATGACTGGGTGTGAGGGGGACTGGTGACTATTATTTGCTTGCCTTGCAGTAAGGTACAGGCAGGTCTGAGTGTGCAAATAATTTTAAAATCTGGCATGGTGAAAAAAACTAAAACAAATACATTAACATTTTAAAGTAATGCTGCCACATTCTGCTGTAGAGAAACACAACAGTAAAGTAGCTAATCAATCTTTCTGGTCTTAGCCAACATTTTATCCGATGTGTTTTAAATTATCATCATCACCAACACCTCCAGTCCCGGGGACCTACACAAAACAGAGTTTAGCAACAGCAAACATTTCTAACTAACACTAGAAAGTATTAAATATCAGCACTTATATATTGCACTATTAACTTCATTTTCAAAAAGCGTGACATTGTAGTAACTTGAGATGCACAGAAAGCCTTTGATCACACTGAATGGTCTTGGGTGTTGAATCTGTCTCTAAGCACAGAAGTTTAAAATACTGGATTATACTAGCAGGAATCAGGAATTTAAGCCAGGTTGGTTCTTTATGCTAGCCCAAATTTTGCCTGATAAGATGCTATTTGTCAGGACCTCCCCCTGCACCTCTTCTGTTTGTTCTCATGAGATAGCACACTGCTTACTTCTGCCAGAGAGGGAGGAAATCTATTTCTCTCAAGGTAGGGCAAGGGAAAGTGAATAGGACTGTGCTTTCGGCAGACAATACTATTCTTTTGATTTCAAACCTCCCTTCAAAGTTCTATATCCCCTCCTTGTTCTAACGCCCTTAAACATAATGCTCAGATCTTCTGAATCATTTGAGAACATTATGAAACACTTCCTCCACATCCTCTTAAATGTTATCCATTTTATTCAGTGCTCAGGAGCAGAGTTTAAGCAATCTGTAGGTTATGCAGAGTACATCTTGCTTCCTTTCTGATATTTCATTCAACTTCTAGCCAATCTTCAGCATTAGCAGTGACCTTTACAAGTAGGCTGCCATAGCACTTTCTTGGATGGACATAATTAATCTTTTTAAAATGGATACCAGCTCCAGCAGATGGATTTGTTTCAAACATGAGACATATCTTCATTCACCCAAAAGTGTTTTGTGGAACTACATAAAAGTTTTCACTGCAACTATAAATAGTGTCCCCTCCCTCACAAAAAGATGACAATAATATACAATAGCTTTGTTGAAATATGCAATATGATTAGCGGAATATGATTACCGCTCATATAATCATCTACACCTAAATACATGAATATACACGCACATCCATTATCTGGACTCTTCCCCCGGAATAGATATTCTGCTAAACAATCTCCTCTCAGCTCTGATTATAAAGGACATTGAACAAAACACTTAAATATGAATATTTTAGCTCTTATTGATAAAAGGGATTACTTATTATAATACCAAGAGATTAAAGACAAAAATCGAATTCTTCAATTAATATATTCTGTACATTTGACAGCAGATTGTGCATAGTCAGTTTTGTTGATTCCCCTGCAGTCAAAAACTTCTCTTGTTTACATGGGTCTCTCATAAGTATCAGGTGAGAGAAGAACATTAAAAATAAACAAAATTCTACTGTAAATCCATAAACATGAGAAGACTGGGATGTAGAGACAGGTGTAGTACCTGAACTAATTTTAATTCTTTTTTTAAAGGACTAAATTTCAATTTGTTAGTACTTTATTAAACACAAGATTTAAAGCCAAAAATTTAAAAAACAAATTAAAAGAAAAACAACACCTCTATTCCCCATCCCAGAGCCTGAGGTCCACCTGGAATTCTGTGCAGATGGCTGAATCTGTAACTTTTCTTGTGTGCACAATATTTTTGCACATGGACTTCTACCTTTGCTTTTAAAAATGTGTCCCGGTTCAGGGTCAGATTGCTTCCCAGCCTTACACAGCTATGCAGGGGCAAGAGAATGGGTGAAAACATTATTCAGCCACATACTCCCAGACAGCCTCCCCAGACCTTGGTTCTGGGTGTAGGAGCACAGGAGGCTGCACAAGGACAAAATCTGTGTTCAGTAAAGAGGAAGAGATAATAAAGGAAGCCTCTTCCCCGGGGACGTATCCAGCTACATACCACACCTTACATTGCCACTGACCAAAGGCTCAATCTGGCCCTAAATAGGTCAGATTACATGATAATGACCCCCTCTTGGCCTTAAAAAAATACAATCAAATCTATGACGTAATCCAAGAAAGTAATCAATACTTTTGTTTTAAATTTTATGCTACAATTTAACTGAATCAAATTCGTTTTCCAGTCTGCAAAACAACTGCGTATTAAAAACGTAATTTTTAAGTACCGATTGCATTATTAAAGATCTGCAAATGGCACTGACAGCATTAGGTAGGTGCGCTTATATTTTTGTGCATTAATCCAATACATAAATAAAAAGAATGAATATAATAAAACCAAACAAAAGTGATCCTGTCTGAAGCAGTGGCGCAATGTGAAATGGGGAGTGCGATGGGAGGGACAAAGTAAAGTGGTCTAAAACTTTATTGAATATGATTTGCTGCTGCTTTGCAAGAGTATTTGGACTCTAAGATGGAATTCAGAGGTAGTTTCCTCCAATATATTTAACTGGCATGGGAGTTGGAGAGGATACTAAAAATATATTCTTCACACCTCAACAACTTCAACTTTGTAAAGCCTCCAAACTGCGCTACACTTGGCAGAAAGGGCCTATTTTAAGAGAATTAATAAATACAGTAATAGGATAGGTTTACCGTGGCTTTAAAAGGGTTTGTGGGGATGGGGCAGGAAGTTTAATAAAAGGCCATTTTGCTACTTCAAACACTTTTTGGGTGCATTTTATTTGCAATAGATGCAATTCCAAGCTGTATTCAAACTGCCCAAAAAGTATGCATACCTTATTGTGTGTTATTGTTTATATGATGTTGTTACAGTCAACAAAGCCTGGAGATTCAAAAGTAAGGCTCCTTCAGATTAATTTGGGTGATTTTGTTAATACCTATTTAAAATGTGTATTTTGAAGACTGTGTATGTTCTACTAATCCTTGTAAAACGTATACAACTCCTATGCATATAAAACAGACTTGTTTCCTTGTTTACTATTAAATTTTAAATGCCTTCAAAATTCCAACAGAATTTCACTTGTGAAATCAAAGTAATCAATAACGTGTTTATAAGCATAAAATAAACCAGGGGTCAGCAACCTTTCAGAAGTGGTGTGCCGAGTCTTCATTTATTCACTCTATTTTACGGTTTCGCATGCCAGTAATACATTTTAACGTTTTTAGAAGGTCTCTTTCTATAAGTCTATAATATGTAACGAAACTATTGTTGTATGTAAAGTGAATAAGGTTTTTAAAATGTTTAAGAAGCTTCATTTAAAATTAAATTAAAATGCAGAGTCCCCTGGACCGGTGGCCAGGACCCGGGTAGTGTGAGTGCCACTGAAAATCAGCTCGCGTGCCGCCTTCGGCACGCGTGCCATAGGTTGCCTACCCCTGAAATAAACCAAAAACCAGTAAACTGTTTCCATACAATTTAAAAAAAACTTATATTAAAAAAACACTTCCAGAAATGTGCGGTGTACCAAGTTCCTCCCTAAACCAAAACTTTTACTGCAGAAGTTATAACTCCTTTAAAAGACACATGAATAAAATAATTGTGAATTTAAACTATTTAAGAAAAGTTACAAAAGCATAATAACTTAAGTAGTTTCATGAAACCTAGAAAGATTTAAAATGTTCTTTTGCAGTTGACATTCCCCAGCAGCACAGGAAACTCAAATACAACAGCACAGTTCTTCCTCAGGAGAACCAGAAAGTGAAAGCGATTAAAAATAGAAATGTAATTAAAAAAAAAAAAAAAAAAAAGAAATTCAAGTCAGATTGGACAAAGTGTCTAATATGCAAGTAGTAAATGCACAGCATTAAAAGTAGGAAGTAAACTAGACGTTTATTTGAGTTTTAAATCTAAGGCATTTAGAAAACAGGTAAGAACCTGTTTTTTAAAACTATGATATTTATCTGGTCAGTGTCCCTTTAAGATAAATGTGGAGAGTAACCTGCAGCTCAACTTTATAAGTGGAATGAATAAATTGCTGAGTCTCAGCATTAAATTTCAATCTGCAGCAGTTGATAAGAATAGTTTATTTTATTGCTTTACTTTACACATTTGGATAAATTAAATAAATACAAACCTTAACTGCATAAAAACCTGTGGCAAGGATTTTGGTACATGGTATAAATACATGCATGTGTGACGGTCTTGCTCCTGCAAGATGAATTTTGGAAAGAATATTTTATATATAATCTCAAGGATTAGTCTCTTGTTCTCTTAAAGCTCAACACTTTTGCTACTGATTGATTAACTGAGCAGATCCAGAGGCTATTTGTCTGAAATCAGAGATGCAGTAAGAAATTCTACAGTGCAGAAATTTGCTTGGACCACTGAGGAAACCAGGGAGAAACTAATGGCATGTTTGCATAACAAACTGGGTGGCTTCTACTTGATCTCTAGTCCCTTTGGGGGAAAGTGAATCAAACAAAGAACAGTGAAACTGGAAGAATAACCCTTGAAAGAGAGTACTGTGGTTTTTGAAAATGGCACCTAACTGGGAAGAAGTGTATCTTGATTAGAGGATGCCTTTTATGAACTGAATGTTTGATAATCACATGCCAAATTAATTGTAATTAACACGTGTGTTGTGGTCATTTATGAATGATACAACTGTATATTTCACCTTTGTTCTATGGGTAATGTTCTCTCAATGGCTGTTTTATCCTAACTTCAAATCCCATTACAACGCTATAGAATACTCGACGAGGGTTCTCCCCCCCCCCAATAAATAAAAATAGTAGCAGTTTGAAAGAAAAAAGATTCCATCTGCCATACATCCTTTGTTTTAAGGAACAGCTAGTTAGCTGTGCCCTTTACATTGTCAGATTAAAATACTGATGAGATTTCCAAAAACTGTCTTAACTACTTACTGCTCTTCCTAAATTTAGCAAAAGGCTCTTTGTATTCTCTTACCTTTATGGTTTTGGTCTGGAGTCTGAGTCCATTTAAAGTGTTAATGGCTTTCTCTGCATCCTTTGGATCAATATAGTTAACAAATCCATACCCTAAACTCTGCCCTGTTGAAACATAAGAAACAAAACAAAACAAAAAAGGACTCAGTATCTTTTCAGCACATGAATGACTTCCAAATGTGGAATCAAAATTCTCTTCTACTGTTTGTTTTCACCACACTTCCACCTAGACTCTCTACATACAGCAGGGTGTCAGTTTTTCACCATTCAACTCTGTGGAAGCTAACAGAAAATTTTTAATTAGCCACTATAATGTACATACCTAAAAGAAAAAAGCAAGCTAAAAAAAAAATGCTTTTCTACAAGTTATCTGAAAAGCATGTAACGTGTTGATATCAATGGAATTAGATAAACACAATTAATAGCTTTGTGTTGAGTTTGTAACAAACTAGAGGATCAGCTGTACAAGCAACATGGTTCCCATTTAAAATGAAATAAAAATAAATGCTCCTCATGCCATTGTTTATAGAGTCTGTCTGGTTTTCATAATGTGAAAGTTCAGAAGCCTCATATTTTACCAGACCCCTCCAAAACACATTGCTCAGTTGGTTGTAAAATCAACTTAAACTTTCTATATTGTCTTATTGACTTGTGAGTGGCAATGCAGAACTGAAAAGAAAGGACAGACTATCCCATGCCAGGATAAGCTCTTACATTATGTTTTCTTTAGTATGTTGGTGATGCCGGCAAAGACAATACGGTACAACTGCTGCTGCATCCGGATGGCAGGAGCCCATTTTAGCAGCCAAATCATTTCAACAGCTTCTGTTTTACTGGTAATGTCTGTGTTTATGTTTGTAGTAGAAGGAGGAGACCTGGTTTAACAACTCAGTTTAGTAACATGGAGCTAGTGATGTACTATTATTAACGCTATACATATACACACACAGCAAGGACAACTAGGTGTCTGCAATGGAGTAGGATAAGGATAACATAACCAAAAGCTACACCAAAAAATATTAGACCTTTCTCCCAATGATTTTACAATATGAATGTTAACGGAACACGAAAGACAACAGCAACACACAGGCAGATTTTGCACTCAGGCTTTCAAATTCCTCTGTCTTATGTGCCATATTTAAATTATTTTGGGTATCTGGAAAATGCAATCATTTGCTGTATTTTTTTTTAAACCTCAGACACTTACTGGGCATGCAGAAGTGAGTACAGATAACCAGGCTTAAAAAAAAAAATTCTCAGGAGGCAGGCACTTTCTTGGATCTCACCCATTGTTACACACTTTTTAAATGAATTTTGAAAATGCTAGGTCCAAATCCTACCTGCACATGGGGTCAATGTGCAGAGGAATCATCCTGATTCTGCTCAAGAGGGGTAAGAGGAAGAAAGGTTGTGAAAAACCCACACAGGGAGAGAGATAACAGGCTGTGAAAACTGTACTCCATAGAGGCTCTAACTGCAATAATGCAGAAGTAACTACCCAGCTCCTTCTCACACTCCTGCATGGGGGAAGCAGAGGTCACAAAGCATCCTGCACATGAGGAGCTATGCCCTAGTCTGGTGGAGGGATTCCATCTCTGCTACATAAAACCGTGTTACTTTGTCTTTGTGCAGAGAGAGAGAGAGAGAGAGAGAGAGAGAGAGAGAGAGAGAGAGAGAGCGCGCGCATTTGGCCTACTGAATTTGGGAAAAAACAACATCACCTAGAAATGTTGTGTTGCATAATCCATATATAATAGGAGTGTCTCACTCTTCTAAAAATCAGATCAAGGTGCTCAATTTTTAAGGTTTAAACGCATATTGCAGAACTCCTTTAAAAACCCACAGAAATGCTTTATTTCACTGCTACGACCACATACAGCGTTATAGACAGGAAATTGCTATTTTAAATTACATACATCAAGGGAGCACTTCCATTCACTAGGTCTAGAAGTACAAGCATAAAACACACCCATTCTTCCTGAATGGCTAAATTCATCTCAACAAATATATTCCAACCCCAGTTCGCTGGCATTAACAAAAAGTTAAACTGAGCAAAGAACCAGGAGCATAAATAGCGTAACAAATACTTCTGATGTCACCCCTCCCCACTCTTTTCTGTCTACCTAAGGCAGCGGTTCTCCAAAGTGGGTCATGACTCCATTTTAATGGGGTCGCCAGGGCCAGCATTAGACCCAGGGCTGAAGCCCAAGCTCTCCCTCTGCCCACCCCCAGGCCGCAGCTCCCTCTTCCCCCACCCGGGGCGGCGGAGCTCAGGCTGCGGCCATTCATGTAGTAACTTTGTTGTCAGAAGAGGGTTGTGGTGCAATGAAGTTTGAGAATCCCTGATCTAAGGTATTTATATGGACCCCATTGCAGCTGTAGGTGGGCCCCTCCCAATCTTGAATATGTTTACCCTCAATACCTCTGGCAAGTGCGGTATGCACTGTGGGGCAGGGACAGTCTTTGCGTTGTGTGTTTGTATAGTGCCTAGCTCCATAGGGTCCTGTTCCAGGACTGGGGCTCGTAAGTGCTATCACAATACAAATAAATAAAATAATAATAATAATAATAATAATAAATAACTCACTCTTATACAGCACTTTTCATTAGTAGAGCTCAATAAAATAATTAGTATTTCACACATGGGGAACTGTCTGATGCAGAGAGAGAATAAGGCCCAGATTTTCAAAGGTATTAAGGTGTTGCTCTGCTCAGCACTGTGAGGCCTAAGTGACTTAGATGGCTAAGTCCCATTCTGAAAAGAGACAAGCTTTTAGACCCAGATTCTCAAAGGGTATTTAGGCACCTAAGTCTAATTGAAGTCAATGGGATATAGGCTCCTAGGTGCTTAAGTCACTTTTGAAAATGGAACTTAGCTGTCTAAGTCACTTAAGTGTTGCAACATACCTCATATAACATATCTAGATATCAATAGATACCTTTAAGAATCTGGCCCTGAATTACTTGCCCAGAGTCACACAGGGCATAAGAACGGCCAGACCGAATCAGACCAAAGGTCCATCTGGCCCAGAATCTTGTCTTCTGACAGTGGCTAAAGCCAGGTGCTTCAGAGGGAATAAAGAGAACAGATCATCATAAAGTGGACCATCTCATTGCCCATTCCCAGCTTCTGGCAAACAGAGGCTAGGGACATTTCAGAGAATGGTTTTGTATCCCTGCCCATCCTGGCTAATAGCCATTGATGGACCTATCCTCCATTAACTTACCTAATTCTTTTTTGAACCCTATTATTGTCTTGGCCTTCACAACATCCTCTGGCAAAGAATTCCACAGGTTCACTGTGTGTGGTGTGAAAAAATACTTCCTTTTGTTTTAACTTCATTTGGTGACCCCTAGTTCTTGTATTATGAGAAAGAGTAAATAACTCTTCCTTATTTACTTTCTCCACACCAGTCATGATTTTATAGGTCTCGATCATAGCCCCCCTTAGTCATCTCTTTTCCAAGATGAAAAATCCCAGTCTTATTAATCTCTCCTCATACGGAAGCTGTTCCATACGCCTAATCATTTTTGTTGCCTTTTTCTGTACCTTTTCCAATTCCAAGATATCTTTTTAGAGTTGGGGCGACCAGCTCTGCATGCAGTATTCAAGATGTGGGCGTATCATGGATTTATATAGAGGCAATATGATATTTTCTGCCTTATTATCTATCCCTTTCCTAATGATTCCCAACCCGAAGAGTTCTGTGTGGCTCAAAAGCTCGTCTCTCTCACCAACAGAAGTTGGATCAATAAAAACATATTAGCTCACCCACCTTGTCTCTCTCATTTCTCAAAGACATTTGCATAAATACCTTTTTAAGGAAGAGAATATAGATAAAAGTAACCTAAAAGGAACTTTGGGAAGGGGAGAGAGTGACATGAGACAGCTGATACAAGAGGAGAACAACACTGACCTGGAGACAAAGCTTCTCATGTCCCCCCATTCCTTTCTCTGGAGTTCCTTAGTTACATCATTAAGGTTACTTTGCACTGGCCATCTGCCATCCTCCACACAAGAAGATATCTACATGGATGTTTCCTCTAAAGTGGAAGGAGGCAATTCACATGAGCAAAGTTACTCCTTTGCATGTTTGCATAATCTGGTTCAAAGAACAAAATTCCTCAAAAGAAGTGATTGATAATGCATGTATAAAAGCTATTCATAAACTTCTATTCCTAAGCTACTGATTGTGTTTTTATCACATGTATGCTAATTCCTACATCAGCGATGTTATATTGTATAAAATTTCTTGTGGAAAGAAAAATCTAAATTGACCTATTCAACATTCTAAACACTTAATTTCAGGGAGTCCAAAAAAGGAAAAATACTGCTTTACTATGATATGAACCATTAAAGCTCAACCCACAACAATCTTGATGCAGTTGGTTCAATTACTAAATTTTTGTTGCTGCATTCTGTCATATGATTTAGCAGTCTATACTTTATATCAATGATGCTGAAGGAAAAAAAATTCTACCTCAGTCAACAGAATGCCGGCCAACAGAGCCAAAAGGAAAAATCCACAGAAAAATAATTTTGTGAAAACCTATGCTTGGTTAGCATATGAGATGGCTAGCAGACACTGTAAATTTTTAGTGTACTAAAACATTCACAGCCAAGAAACAAAAAAAATGGAACAAATCATGCTAAATATAAATTATTTTCAAACTATTCTCAATAGCAATAAATCTCATGACAATAAAAACAGACTCTAGATTCACGTGCACTGCAAATGGATACTGGAGGAGGGGAAGAGGATTTGTTCAAAACCATGGCCAAGAAATATGAGCTTTCATTTATTTGATCGTATCTTTTTATTGCATGTTCTGAAAAAGGAAACCATTTCTTAGGCCCTGATCCGGCAACATATAGCATGCAGTTGGGCATCTCAATGGGATTCTGCATAGGCACAGCAGTCCATTCACACGTCACATCACAGCACCAGGTTAAATTGTGAGTCTCGTTTTCTGTACTTGGGAATCCACTAGTTCATTAGACACCACGATTAGGTGGGGCTAACATGTTATATTTCTAGATCTTCGCACTGCTACTATTCCAGCTTGTTGTTCTCTCTCCCCAGCCCTACCTCCCCTCCCAGTTT